GAAAAGAGAGAGGCAGCGAAAGCGAGGCGGTGAAGTTGATGAACGTTGTATTCTCCATGGAGCCTTGGATCCACAAGTTTTTCTATTTCTCCCTTTCTAAGTATTGGCTTCGCCTGTTTATACAAAATAAATAAAACTCATTCGAATTGAAAACTCTGTAACAATTTCTTAAATACGATAGAATACCAATCGTACGTATAATCATCTGATTTCACGTGCATATCATAAGTTTAAAAAATAGAAAAATCTCATATAAATATCTAAATTTTTATATAAAAAAATCTTTCTCAACTTTTTAAAAATCTTATATAAATACCTAGACTTTTAAAATATTCCAAACAGATCTAAAGTTTAGATAATTTTCAAATAAAAATAATTAATATCTTTAACGGATTTTGGATTTATTTGATAAATTTTCAAAAATTTGAGTATTTCTATAGGATTTTTTAAAAGTTTAGATATTTATATAAAATTTTATAGTTTATATATTCATCTGATTTTTTTAAAAGTTTAGATATTTAAATGATATTTTTTTTTTCTAAAAAAACGTTATCATGGTTTTAATTGTATATGCTTTGACTCAACTGATAGGGGTCCAGATACGTTTGATACATACATATGAAGGGTGTAAATATTTGACATGCAACTTATGATTTAAAATTAAGATAATTTTGGACCGACGGGAAAAAATAATAGTATTACATGCGGAATTAATGGATTCACTCTCCAACTTCTGCTTTTTCGTTAATACAAAAATACCCAATTCCAGATATGATTTTTTTTCCAGACAATTTCACATATAATAGTTCAACTGATTTGAACTTGGGTGGGTGTCAGGGATTTTATACGGTATTTATTGTAGAAATGGGACAAAAAATATCGTATAGTATAAGGTTATAAATTAGAAGAATAAATAAATTGTTGAATTGGACTTACAAGGGTGTGTAAGCTTTGGTGGGAGGCGTCAACAGGTTTCCTACCAGAAATGAGTTCAAGCAAGAACACTCCAAATGCAAACACATCTGTCTTCTCATCCACAATCCCATGTGTATAGTATTCTGGTGCTAAATGCCTGTTTTTTTATATAAAATAATAATAATTATAATAGTTTTCAATTTCTGAATCCAAATTTTTTCATGGAAAATTAGGTGAGAAAGAAAGAGAGGGGAAAAAAGTAAAGATTTTTGTTGTTGTTGTTGCTGTTGTTGTTGTTGTTATTATTATTATTATTATTATTATTATTATTATTATTGTATACCCAAATGTGCCTTCAATGGGAGCAATTGAGTGGTGAGACCATTGAGAAGGAAGCCATTTTGCCAACCCAAAATCAGATATCTACAAAAAAAAACCATGCAATGGTTATGGAATCATTCATTATTACATGAAAGATGAATTTCATATATGTACATATATATATATATATATGTGTATTTATACCTGAGGTTCAAAATCATGGGTTAATAAGACATTGGATGATTTAATGTCTCTGTGGATGATCCTCCTCTGACAACCTTTGTGCAAGTAATGAAGCCCTTTCGCTGTCCCTACGCCTATCTTGTACCTTCTTTCCCATTCCAATGGCGGCAAACTTGCATCTGCAAATCACCAATTCCAGCACACGCTAAGGGTTTCAGAAAAATAGCAAGAACCCGTATTCAAACCAAGCAAACCCAGATTGGAAAAACCGGTTTTGCCCACTAAAGCTCGGAGCTTTGCTCTTCACAAAAGTTCAAAGAGCCCGTGATCAAGAACAGAGAACTTTCTAGAGAGAGAAAGGGAGAGACTAGGGTTCACTTCAAGATTTAGAAAGAAAAAAGCCGCTAAATCTCGTAACTTTTCAGAAAATGAGAAAGACCCAGAACCGGAAACCTGTAAGAATTCGAAGAAAGTTTCATTCTTTTTATTTTTAAAAGCTTCTGGTTTTCTGGGGATTACCATGTAGAAGAGAAGCAACAGAGCCTCTGGAAGAGAACCGGAAAACAAGATAAAGGCCATTGTCGATGCAACAGCCAAGAAGAGACAAGACATTAGGGTGGGAGACATGTCCTATTGTCCCGATCTCTGTAAGAAACTCCTTCTCTCTCCTCTCATCTCTTCCTCCTCTCGTTATCCTCTTCACCGCAATCTCTTCCCCGTTACCCATCACCCCTTTGTACACCTCTGCAAATCCTCCCCTCCCCACCAAATTCTCTGCAACAAAAACACAAAAAGAAAAGGACCCATTTAGCAGAAAAACAAAAAGGAGAAATCTTTCTGACAATCGAAGCTTTTTCAGTGGTTTAGAGACAGAACCTGGGCTGAAACACTTAGTCGCATCAAAGAGTTCCTCAAAGGAGAAACATCTCCAAGTGGGTCTCTGAAACTTCTCCGTTTCATGAAAACCCTCGAAGAACTTGTCGGCTTTTACAGCTTCTTCGACTGGCGATGTCTCGGAATCGGCATCGAAACTGCGTCGTTTGAAGGAGAAAAGGCGTTTGAAGCTGTTGCTTCGAATGTACTTCATTTTGGATGGAACAGAGGAACAAAAAATGACCAGTGAGAGAAAAAAAAAACAGAGGAGGAACTCGAGTTATGTAATTGTAATATGTAATCATAGAAGACAGAAACACAGGGAGAACAGAAGGAGATGGATTATCTGTCTTTGTACTTTGTAATTTATTAGGGGGATACCAAAAAAAACAAAAACAAAAAATGGGTTTACGGTGAGTTGGCCGCAGAGGATAGAAACCCTTAGGGCTTAAGTTAGGTGATAAGGAGTGTACAAGGATTTGTTGGGTGGGACTTTAATGTTATGCTTTTATCTCAAGAACACAGTTAGTCCAACCACGAAATATTAAAAACGAGAAATAATATTTTGATTTATTCAGATGGAAGAGGTTTAAGGATTTGATATTTTACTTGTTCTATATCTATATCGATCGAATGCTAAAAAATAATTTCATTGCAAACATCCCATGGTTGCAAATTTATGTTTTTATAGAAATAGTAACAAATAATGTCATTCAAACTCGTTTAATTCTCAAATATTTAGGGTATCTGGAATAAGGTGGTCATTTCAGTTTGGTTGTATCGAACCGAACTGTCCAAATTCTCGAACGGTATTAATTTTAGAAAAATTGAATTTTTCAAAACCGAATCAAATTTTAAAAACCTAAAAAACAGTTTTTTTAAAGAGATCTAATTTGTTTTTAATAAAAACCGGAATTAAAACCGAATATAATATAATCACCGATTGGTATTTATTTTTGTAAAACCGAAAGAATCGAACCGAACCATTTACGACCCGAATCCAAATCGAATCTCGAAAGGTCCACCCTTAATTTGAAATATCTAAATATTTGAAATTTATAAATTTGAAATCAAATTTCAAACCCTAAAATTTGAATGGTTATTACGGTCATACATTCGAAATTCATGACCGCCGCAGAGGAAAGTTTGTATCAACAGAAATCACGCGTTCAATGGTTGCAGTTAGGAGACAAGAATACAATCTATTTTCATAAAGTGGCAAGCGCTCGAGCATTCCATAACAGGATCCACTTCCTCGCTGAACTCCATCGATAACATTAAGGCCCACATTGTTGACTACTAAACTAAACAGTTCGGGACCCCTGACCAGGCGACCTCACTAGCCTTTGTTGACACTCTTCATGGATTACTCAGGTACACTTGCCCCAATTCATTGGTTGACGAACTGATTAAAATTCCCTCTACCGATGATCGTAAGCAGGTTCTGTTAGCGATGTCGAACAACAAGACACCAGACCCCGATGGATTTTCAAAAGAGTTTTTTGTTGCATCGTGGGATGTTACAGGACCTGATTTGGTAAATGCAATAAAAGAGTTCTTTGATGCGGACAGGTTATTGGGTTAACTAAATGCAACGACTATCACACTGATTCTCAAAAAGCCAGGGGTTGATAGGCTGGCTGACTATCGGCCGATTAGATGTTGCAACACAGTATACAAGATTGTTTCGACTATATTGGTCCGGCGTCTCAAACCAATCTTGCATGAGGTGATCTCGACAAACCAGACGACATTCCTCAAAGGCCGACTAATGCTGAAAAATATATTGTTGGCATCGGAGTTAATTCGTGACTACAATCGCAAGGGGTCACCGGAGAGTGCTATGGCTAAAATAGACATACGGAAAGCATTTGATTCATTGTTTTGGGAGTTCATGGTACGAAGGCTTCAAGCCTTAAACCTACTTGCCAGGTTTGTGAAATGGCTCAGATTATGCTTTACAACACCTAAGTTCTCAGTGAATGTTAATGGAGAACTAACTGGTTATTTCTAGGGCCGACGGGGATTGCGCCAAGGTGACCCGATTTCTCCATACCTATTCATCTTGAGAATGAAAATATTCACAAGGCTCCTCGACTAAGGTGTTAACAATGGAAGCTTAGGCCACCACCCTAGATGTCGTAACCCAACAATAACGCACCTCTCTTTTGCATACGATGTAATGATTTTCTGCAAAGGAGATCTGCAGCTTACTTCAGTTTCAGCTATCTTGGAGATGTTCAGTTAGTGGTCCGGGCTAAACATGAACCACGACAAATCTGAATTATTCACGGATGGCATGAATCAGCAACAAGCCGAGATGTTGGCCGTAGCCATTGGAGTTAAGCTAGAAACATTGCCTGTTAAGTACCTCGGGGTACCATTGAATCCCTCGAGACTCACACATGCAGATTTTCAACCGTTGTTAGAAAATATTAGCAAGAAACTTACAGCATGGAGCAACAAATACCTATGTTATGTTGGTAAGATTCAGCAAAATTTCTTCGGTTATTTACGGGCTAGTGAATGCATGGAGCCAAGTATTTGCGTTGCCTCGGTTCTTCATGAAAAATGTGGACAACCTCTGTTCTACCTTTCTTTGGGAAGGAAATCTATTGGGTTCCGGGTCATTCAGAATCTCATGGGTGACAATATGTAAACCGAAACTGGAAAGGGGTCTCGGTCTACGCAGATTAGATGAGTATAACACATTCTTTAGATTGAAACTAATTTGGTTACTTCTCGTTAAATCAGGGCCACTATGGGTGGCTTGGCTAAAGAACAATGTGTTTCATTCAAATAACTTCTAGAACTCAAAGAGTCCAGCAAGGACCTCATGGATAGTCTGGAAAATGTTCAATATCACAGGCTTAGCTAGACAATTTGTCGTCAATGAGTTGGGGAGTGGTGAAACGACGAGTTTCTAGCATGATAGTTGGACAAAACTCGGGCCACTAATGCTCCTTACAGGGGACGAGGGACCACGATTGCTTTCTATTCCAAACGAAGCTTCAGTCTCAGATGCGGTGTTGAGGGGAAATTGGAACCTGTCGGGTGCAAGATCGACATCGATACAGGAGATCCAGATAGCTCTTGCTGCAACTAAACCACCTACTATTGATTCTGGATTGGACAGAATATTGGACATAAAAGGAGAAATGCAACAACCTGTGATAACAACTACGAGTGAAGACACAAAGGGAACAGAGAAACACTCACTGACAGTGACAGAGCATCAAGGACAGAAACATGCCTGTTTTTCCTAGGATCAAGCGTAGCCCAACTTTGCTGTATAGGATTATTACTTTACATTTATTACCTATACTTACATATAGATTGTACTTTCGATGCTCTTCTGTAGGGGTGTCAAAATAGCCCGAGGCCCGATCCCCGGCCCGAACCCGCCCGTAAAATTTGCGGGCTTGGGCTTTACAAATCAAGGCCCGTTCGTTTTTCGGGCCGGGCCGGCCCGGCCCGGAAAATTACGGGCCAAAAACGGGTTCGGGCCGGGTCGGCCCGGCCCGGCCCGTAGACCCGATTAAAAAAATAAATTATATGTATAAATATATATGTATATAGGTAAATATAGATATACATATATATATTTCACACATATTTGATCATATATATACATTTATTCAATCTTTTATATATATATATATATATATTTTATAATGTATATACATATATAAAAAATATACAAATATTATATAATAATAGAAAGTTCTAAAAACTAAAAACTTGTTTAATACTAAATAATTCAGGATATAATATTTTCATAAATGATATAATCAAAATTATAATACTATTAGTTTCAAATACTTATTCCAAATGAAAAATATAATAAATTATCATTTTTAAAAATTTATTACCATATAAAATTAAAAAATTTAAATTTAAATTTATATTAGATCAAAATATATAACTTTGTAATCTATTTTTTATTTTTTTAATTATCACGAAATGTACTAAAATTTTTTGTATTTTTATTATTTTAATTTGTTTATAATTTTTTAAAAAAATTTTAAGCCCGAAACCCGGCCCGAACCCGAAAAAAGCCCATAGGACCGGGCTCCGGGCCGAAGATTTTAGGCCCGTTGGTTTTTCGGGCCGGGCCGGCCCGACCCGTAAATATTTCGGGCTTGTGTCGGGCTCGGGCCGGGCTGGCCCGGCCCGGTGATTTTGACACCCCTACTCTTCTGTATATATATTGAGTACCAGTATACAGAACAATACAAGAGAGAAATTTTGGAATTTTACACATTGTCTTCTTCTTCTTCGTTGAGCTCCATCTATGGCTGTCTGAACTTGACGCCTGTTATGGTATCAGAGCACTGTGTACTACTTTCCTTCTAACTTCTCTGTTCCCTTTTTCACCTTTTTCCTTCGTTTTTTGTTCTTCTTCCTTTTCTCACGATGGCTGATTTCAATGTCGAAATTTCTGAGGAAATCTCTGCTTCTTCCTCCACCCCTCAACCTTTTGTTCCTCCGGTTGCTCCCCCGCCGGCGGTACCCACTGATTCGTATGGCAATCACTATTTTCTGGGCACAAATGATCATACGACTCTGCAACTCGTAACTGATCGCCTTACAGGTCCAGAAAATTTCCATACCTGGTCTCGCTCCGTCACCATGGCGCTTGAAGGCCGGAACAAGATGGGTTTTGTTACCGGTGATATTTCTCGTCCTGACGATGGTGATGTTGATGCCCAGCTTTGGTATCGCAACAATGTTGTTGTCAGCTCTTGGATCATCAACTCCGTCTCCCCGAGCATCGCACCTAGCCTCCTGTATCTCAGCAGTGCTCGTGAGATCTGGTTGAACCTTAACAAACGGTTCAAGCAGAGCAACACACCACAGCTGTATGGTATAAAACAACAGCTTCATGATTTACGCCAGGGATCTCTTGACGTCACAACGTTTTACACTAAACTTCTGACTATTTGGGAAGTGATCAAGGCGCTAAAGCCCGTACCTCACTGTAAATGCGGGAACTGCTCTTGCAATATTTCCCAGGAGTGGCGAGCACAAAGTGAACGAGATTTTGTCATTGACTTCCTCTTTGGACTCAATGAATCATACAATGCTATCCGAAGCCAAATCATCATGCTCGATCCCCTGCCAGATTTAGAGAAGACGTTTCACCTCGTTACTCAACACGAGCAGCAGCGTTCCATCAAAACACCAGTGATGTCTGAACACCCTGTTCTTCACACTTCTGTTTCGGTAGAGCCTGTTTCCCGTTCGGTTGCTGCTTTTCAAGGTGCTCCTTTCAGGGGTAAACCGAGACCTGTATGCACTCACTGCGGCCTTCACGGTCACACCGTCGCTAAGTGTTATCGTCTTCA